TTTTTTTTTACTATTTGTCAAAAGACATTCAGAAAGGTAAAGCTCAGATCTGTTTACAGAAAATGCAATTACATTAAAGGGACAGTTCAGAAAAAAAAAGAAAACTCATGTTGTTCTCTATGAAAAGTTTGAAAAGTGTTTCAACTGTTTTTTTTTTCCATACAATGAAACTCAAATGTCAACACAACACTGACTTGTCCACCAACAATCATTATATGCATGAGGGTGCTAAATGATAAGTATGAAGTTTTCCCATCATTGTTGTCAAAGAATTGAATATAAAAATAATTACCGTTTCAAACTGATTTGCATCCTCAGATACATTGATTGAGAGCGTGCTGGTGTGTCAAAACTATATTATTTTCACTTTTCAGGGGAGTCAACCAATGAATACATTACAGTCTGAGTGTAATAAACTGGCAAGCTTGGAATATTACCATTTTAAAAAATCCCCACCTCACCATTAACCAACTGAGTAAACTCATAGATCATTATCTGATTAAAATGGCTGACCTTCTCCCTAACAAACACTGTCTACAGTATAAATAACCCTATAGGCAAGGCAAGTTTATTTATATAGCACATTTCATACACAATGGTAATTCAAAGTGCTTTACATAAAATAAAGTAAAATAATCATAAAAAAATAATCACAACAATAAAACAAGGAATTTAACAAATTTGAAAATGATTTAACCCTAGTAAATGGACGTGCATTATAGTGAATTTCATTAAACAAGAACAATTGCATCTACTGACCTAGCACACCTTAATAACACAGAAAATCTAGAATGTGTTTTGGCCTGTTCACTATCTTTAAAAGACAATCAATTCAGAGATAAACAGCCACAAAACTGACAGCACCCCCAGATGCACTGAACGATAACATATCTCCAAGTGCTGACAGTTTCCAATTAGTTTATTGATTTACTCCGAGAGTTTAGTTAGTGCAAGGCAAACTGTCAGGATGCTCAGCTTCTGGTTGCTGCTTATCCACTGTGGCAGCTTCATCCAGCAGAGACGGCCGGCTGATCTTTACTGCGTGCTTGACTCATACTCATCCCCCTTCTTTCCTCATTCCTTTCCTCCCTCTCTCTTCCTCTCTCTACAATTGGCCATCTGCTTGTGTGACTGTGCGCCTGCAGAGCAGGGTCCGGCTGCTCCCTGATTAGCCTCACAGACACTGCGGAGCTCATCAGCTGAAAGAACAGACTTGCACTTTGCTGAGGGCCGCTGCAGCTTTGCTCTGCTGAGATTCACCTCTGTGCACCATGTGTCCACAGAGCTTCGATCCTGCAAGCTGTTACTTGACAGTCAGTTACGGGCTTGCACTTGGGTCGTAGCAGTTTATGATCATGATGTGAATTTCAAGATGGGATTTTAAGAATTTAAGAATTTAACTTGGTGTACAAGACATCCATTAAGTTACAATAATAATAACAACAAATGCTTGTGACTTAACAACTGTTAAATTCTTCAAATTTCATCTTGGTATTTACATCATAATAATATTATTAATAATATTATTTATCAGTTCCAAAGGTTCACAGCAATGTTAACTCAATCTCTATATTTATTATTAACAGTATTGATATTATTATTCATTGCTTGTGACTTAATTTAACAACTGTTAAATTCTTAGAATCTTATCTTGTAATTTTCATACAAAATAATAATAATAGTAGCAGTAGATTTGCAGTTGTATTTCATTGTCAACTTTCCTTGAATGTCAGAGTAAGTAGGAGGAGAGGGACCACCCATCAGAAAAATTATCAAATAAAAAAATTAATTTTTCAATGTTGGCCGTAGCTATTCAGTTAAAGGCACCAATCATCTTTTTAACAGAGTTTGTTTACTCCAAAATGCCAGCCTAATTGTTTTAGCAACTTGATTTGAATAATGTTTTTTAAACAAATGCAAATGCAGAAAGAATGCAATGTCCAAAACTATTTAGTTAAATAGGAGCTTATTGCATATTGTACACATAAAAATCTGATGCCCAGGTAACATTACCAAGATGAAGTAAATTTATGATAGTTCACTGTGCAGACAGTTTGTGGCACAATCTACCTACAAGCCCTTTCAACAAAACAAAAGTCCAATACAACATAACCCCCATTACACTACACAGAATAATACATAAAAAATTTATTCCTCAGGGAAAGCATGGCCTCGCTTTCCACACTTCCTCCAATTACTCCACCTCAGTAGGTTCAGCCATGAGCTTTTCTGCTCCACAGGTGCTGTCGTTCCCCAGGCCAACAGAAAAGAGGAAGCCTTCGTCGTTCCAAGCTTTGTCTCTATCTAATTGGCTGGCATTGTGACCCTGTGGGCTCAGAGGAAAGCGTGCCCTTAAAGTGGAGCACACCGAGTAGAATTATTGCTCTTAATCCAGGAGAATGGCCTCCACCACGACCAAACCTGCTGCAGTTAATTAAAGAGAAAGGCTGAAGTGCAGGCCTGGTGGCTCTGAGATAAGTAAGAGCAGCAAAGGACAAAACTCAGCTGAGGCGGACTTTTTAAGATTGTGGATGGAGATTGAGGTAATGCTATTGTGAACATAAGAATTCCAATTAAGATGCGAGAAGTTTACTCCAATGTGAGATCCATTTAGATGCAATCCACCGCAGTGAGGTTGTTTAAAATCTTAAGCAGAGAGGTCACTTAAAAAGAATTAGCTTGCTCTTGTGTTGTTATAAACCAATATAACTTTCTTTCTTTCAAGGAACATAACAACATAAGTTTCGATTCATTTGCTGGCCACTCTTTTCCAAGCAATTATGGGGACTAAGATTCTAAGCTTTAAAAGGATACAAAATATATATAAATATCAAATACGATTCTTCTGATGTCACATGATGGCTTGGTGTGAGGAACAGATATACAACTGAATCTGATTCCTTGCAAATATCCAACTCAAAACAGTTAATTGTTCACAACCTGGACAGTTCTGATGAATATTTAACTTGTGTTCCACGGGGGGATGTGGAAGATAATTCAATTATGGGCATTTTATTTATGAGTGAACTATTCTTTTTAAAACCAAATCTCATTTATAAGTTTCACTTGCACAGTTTGTTGGGGGGGGGGGTCATCAGGTTTTGGAACAACATGAAGATAATTCAATTATGGGCATTTTATCTATGAGTGAACTATTCTTTTTAAAACCAAATCTCATTTATAAGTTTCACTTGCACAGTTTGAAGTTCTCGAGGCCAAAAACACACTTTGGCTAATACAATTAAAGCAAGCACATAATCATATTTTAGACCTATTTTCCAGATTTTAATAGCACTTTTCTCCCATGTTACAGAACTGTCAGATATTGGCTAAATTATGCATGGCAGCACAATTAAAGCAGATGTGAGTCTCAGTCAAACAGAGAAAACAAGTTCTCTGTATCTACATGCAAATACAAACCAGTGGAATGTATCCAGTCATAACTCTGTACAGACATAAGATGAATCTTGGCATATCCAATTTTTACCAGGTGATTGTGTGGCCTGTATAATACACACTAGGAGAAAATTTAGCTGGACAGCATCTAAAGCACTTAAATTTATAATAATGCAAACATGTAAAAAATAATTCAACTTTTGATTGTGATAGTCTTTGTTCTGGTCCGATGGTTCTGCTTATTTCTGTGAAACATCTCGCAATGAAAAAAAGATTTTAGGGAAACATAACACTTTCATTATATTGCATTTTACCATGTAATACTTCTAAACAACAAACACATCCTTTATTTGTAAGATAAATACATACTGTGAACAGAACTAGGAATGAATGAAAGGGACTTGCCATGCATGACTTAGTTGTTCTATATATTTGATATGAGACTAAATGCACGTTCTTTTAGTGAATTAAAAATATGTAAGCTGTTTATGTGAATTAAGTCTCCACTGTGAGCCAGTACATTGCATTGTGCTTCTTAGCGGACTCCCAGCAGCATGAGCTTTTTAAACACTTTCCACTGGCTGATTTTCCCTATTTAAATATTCCCTCTGGGCAGTAATACCCTTAATAAGAATACAACAACCTGCTGTACATTTGTGTTTACTGGCAGGGAGCATTATTAGGCCGTAATTTAGCCACTGCTGACATGCTATTACTTACGCATATCTTATGATGCATGATTGACCCCTTGTGTTTTAATATGAACCTCCTTTTTTTTTTTAAAAAGCACTGGATGTCTATACAAGACTCAACAAGCATTTGAGTAGAGCAAAACAGTAACTCTGTGAACTTTCAAACGTTATGAAAACAGTTTTGGTATCAGACAGTAATGAAGCCAAAATAAAAAAAAGTGTATAAAAATGTATAAAAATTGTATTTCCTTTTTTAAAACTTTATTTCTCATAATCGATACTTAATTTCTCCCACTTATAACTTTAACTTTACATCTCACAATGTGACTACTCATTTGTGACTTTAAAACTCTCTTTATATCTCACAGCATGGCTTTCTAATCCTACACTTTACCTCACAATTATGTTTTTTATTCTTTACTTGGAAGCATGGTTTTATTCCACAGAGACAGACGTCATACTCGGAGTGTGCGGTTTTGTGAAAAATAAGAAAAATAAACCATTTTTAAAAAGTAATGCACTTCTAACATGATGTAATATATATAAATGAATATTCAGGGCATTAAACAAAAGAAAAATGCCATTGTCTCTGAGATTACAACCCAAGCGAAATAATGAGCACTCTGACAGGAAACACATATATAATCTCATTTGAAAAAGAAGTCTATGACAAGTTCTGAAATCACAACGCTCACTTTTAAATTACTACCCATGAAGGCCACCCACTGACTGTGCGGAAGTGAGCAGCTTCAATTATAAATGCATAAATGCCGAGAGGAACGTACGTGCACAACCATGAACATAAGGCATTTTTCATAATCAACAAGCTTAGCTCTTGTTAAAAGCAGAAACGATTCTCTCATTGTTAGCCCTGTGATCACTGACTGCTTTATCCTGTATGTTTTTACTCACCTTGACAGAGATCTTCCCCTCATCCTTTGGTAAGTGTGCAGCCAGGAACCAGTCTCCTGGGAGGGGGCTGGTGACATTGAAAACCCCCGTGGTGCGGTTGGGCAGCGTCCATGTCAAAGTGACAGCGAAGGAGCCTGGTACAATGGTGTCCTTTGGAAAATGTGTCTGGAGGGGGTTGATTACAGGTGGAGCTCCTGACCTGAAGTACCTGTAAACCAAGATGATAGTTACATTTCAAGACATGCTGTGGACTCTTTCCTTGGATGAGATCAAATGCATCAGTCATTTTTGTCTAATATATAGGAAAACTATATCACAGAAATATAATGAAACAAGTGAGTCCATGTAGTGAGAAACACAGGGCCAGAGAAAGCACACTAACATCAGTCCTGAATCAATTAGAATGCAGAAGATGCAACAATTTCTCACTCGATCACAAGAGAGGAAGTGGAGCATTGTGACTGATTCTAAATTATGCATGAAGTAAATCGTAAACAAATATTCCAACATTTAACTTCATCGTTAATGTTTTGAGCAATGCTTACGAATTTAGGAAGCATTGATTTGGAACAGCGCCTCGACTAGGCTGCAATTACAAGTAAAGGAGAGAAGAATGAAAGAGACGAAAATCATTCACTTACATTAGACTCATTTTCAACACAAAACCACAACGTGCTTCTCTTCATTTCGACATGGGAGCACAAGGCCATGAAAGTAAAAAGTCTTCCCTCAGTCTCTAGCCTGTCAGTCAGGATACAGACACAGGCAGACAGTAGGAGCCTGCAACAAATCATGCCATGACACTTTTTCTAAAAGGTTTCACTGTCTGCAATTATTTTTGCTCAATGCACTGCTTTGTGTCTCCTGTAGTTTGTCAGTCACAACCCTGACAATCCTTGTGGGGAAAAAAGCCCCTGTATGAAGGGTTTCACAACAAAGACTATCAATTACTCTTTTATTCTCCGTTTCTCTCATTTTCAGAGGTAAAAATGTCTTTGTGAGACAAGTAAAAATGGCAAAAGACAGCACAACCACATATGTGTGTAATAGAGTCACACAATAATTCAGACATACCCATGATGAATACTGATATTGCATTCATCACTGACACATTTTAAGTGTTCACATATGAATTTATCTTCATAACTGTGCACAGCTAGCTAAACACCCACCAAAAGAAGAATATAACACTTGGAGAAAGCTGTCTGATTCCCATTGCTCAGGTAGTGCAGCACCCTCCGGAAATATGCCTTTTGAAATCTGGGTCAATGATGTGATGCTCACTTTATGTCCTAGCTATTAATCTACACACAAAAAAAAGGCATATGAGGTGTTCAGATGCAAAAGCCTCTAAGTGTTGTCTGAAAGTTTCTTCTGAAATGAGCATTTTTATCAGGCTCCTATATTCTTGTTCAGTTATTTCACTTTAATTGCATAGAAAAGGACCTATACATTGCCATTAGAGTAAAATTACTGAACCTAAACATAGGAGCCTGATAAAAAAACTTCTAATTTTAGAAGAAATTTTAGAGGCTTTTGGATCTGAACTCTTCATATATACAATGACTTGAATACACCTCACTTAATTAAATTAAATTAACTCAATTAAAAAATATATAATAATTAATATTCATCTGGATATTCATCATGGAAATAAAATTAGAGGTATTGGTAATATAACAGTCTTGATATCATAATGAAGAAAAGGTACAAAAAAAAACAGAAAAAAGAACAAGAAAATATATTATAAAAATGTCACATATGTCTACAAAACAGGAAAAGATATTGTAGAAAGGTAAATAATATCCTTTACCCTTACAGAAAACCCTTACAGATACAAAAACAAACAAAAATGAATAAAAAAACTAAATAAACTACCTCAACAAAAACCCCTTTATAAGTCTTTAAAATATTAGATAATCTCACCAGCCAAAACTGATTTCTTGTCTATACAGTATAAATTCCTTTAAGGAGGCAATCTATTAACGATTTTCTGTTGCATAGCAGTAGTAGTCCAGGTCCTATCTACTAAACCTGTTTGTCAAGAAAATGTTTTAATAATATATTTTGACAATTAAAAACTGACGATTACAAATTCTCCCATTTTTCTTTGAATGGCCGTATAATGTCTTCAGATTTCTTTGTGTGTTTCTCCTTCATGAAACAGACATGCAATCTTCAGAGATGGTCATGCTAACCCAGAGGTCCTGGATCCTTGACAGGTAATAACTCAAAGTGCTTCTGCTAGAGCTCTGCAGGGTTATTAGATAAGTCATCCTGCCCTTCTTGTACTCTGAGCTAGTGTACCTAAAACATGCCCCATCATTCGGGGTCTTATTCTAAGACGGAGACCCCATACTGCTTACTTGAATGTGACGACGTCGTTGAAGCACAAGCTTGTGTTCAGCACCATCAGATAGATGTTTTCAGCACTGGATAATGATTTTATCTGGGTTGTGTTTTGCACTGAGCCATGAACTTTTTCCTTTGAGGCTGCAGTGGCAGCTCCAGATTTTTACTAAGATGCTGCCTTGTAGTTCCGAGGGAGTGTTCAAACTATAAAGACATCCGTGCAGGTAATATGAACACAGTGCACAGACTGGCAGCTATGGTGCTAGGTTATTTTTTAACAATGTTAAACTTTAACTTCACCCAAAATGCTGCCATCTGATATGTAGAGGATTTTGTTTCCTCATCGGAACAGATTTGGAGAAATTTAGCATTGCATCACTTGCTCACCAGTGGATCCTCTGCAGTGAATGGGTGCCGTCAGAATGAGAGTCCAGATAGATGATAAAAACATCACAATAATCCACAAGTAATCCTAGTTGATCAGTTAATGTATTTTGGCCAGAAGTGATAAAAGTGGTTTAAAGTTCAAGCACCTTAATGATGGAACTGTTTATTAAAAACATGCATTTTTCTTCACAAGATGTTAACTGAAGGACTACAGTCATGTTGTGGATTATTGAGACGTTTTATCAGTTGTTGAAGTCTCATTCTGACGGCACCCATTCACTGCAGACAATCTACTGGTGAGCAAGTGATGTAATGCTACATTTCTCAAAATCTTTTCCAGATAAAGAAACAAACTCATCTACATCTTGAAAGACGTGAGGGTGAGTAAATCTTCAGCAAATTAATTTTTTGGGTAAACTATGCTTTCAATTGCAACATTTTACAATAAGATTCAATTTGTGAACATTAGTTAATATATTAGGTATTATTTACAAACAATTAACAAATATTATTTTAGTATTGATCATTAGTATTCATTAATTTAGGTTACTGTTAGTTTAAAAAATGATAAATATAGAAACTATTATTATATAACTTATATAACCATGTAAACTAAAATGTATAAAATCCTGCTAAATTCATGTTTCCAAATTAATTCATGTTCTTTTATAATATATTAAGTAATTTATTTCAATGTATGCATCTTGTAATGTTAAAAATGAGTTAGCAGTAAAACATTGTTGTTCGTGATTCTAAATATTGATTCTAATCTAATAATGATCTATTAACAATCTGAACTTTATTGTAAAGTGTTACCAATTTTATTCTTAATTTTCTTAAAAGATAATGAAAACAATGCCAATTTTGAGTATAGTGCGATACCGTGACACAGGACTTACATACACATACATAAATGACCACAGCAAAAGACACTTTTTTTCTAATTAACTTAGCATGTACTGTAAATTAGCATTTCCCTGGGACTGAATAAATCTATCTGACGAAGCTACCATGCATCCTTAATGCGCTTCTCTATACAGTTCAAATACGTAAGCTCACACAAGGCGAAAAAACATGCCATATAAAAGATGACATGCCGTATGCAATTTATTGCTCCAAAGGTCTGGCTTTTCCTTATCCTTTGCAGAGCATGCAGCACTCTGTTGTGATCCAATTAGTTATACATCCATACATGTGAAAGCAATACAGAGCTGTCCTAAGATCAGAGTCCAAGCTGTATGTAAACTGGCCCTTCAGCAAACAGATCATCATAATCAGATCAACATGCTCTGTAGTCAGTGCATTTCCTCACAATGTTTATGGTCACACTCTATTACTATCTAGTTGTCAATTAGGCTGGAGAAAGTTTGAAACAAGGTGGAAAAAAAACAAGGTTTGGTAATTAACACAAGGCAAGTTTGGCTACAAAAATAACACAAATGAGCACTCACAAAAGCTGGGAGACAAAGATAAGAATGACATTAATTGGTATTATGAATGTCAATCCATTAAAACAAATGTAATCAAGTAAACATGATATGATGATTAATCTATCAAATTAATAGCAAATAATTACATTTATTAGTATTGAAAAGATCCTACATGAAGGTAATTTGAAAATACTGTAAGTACGTGTACGTACTCAGTAATAACAGTATATTTTGGAAATGATAATGCACAGAATTATCACAGGCACTTCAAAATACTGTGAATAAGTCTTGGTACCTTATTACCTTTTAGAACATACATTATCTTCTTGTTCATCAAAAATTTACAACACTGTGTGTATGATGCAACAAGCTAAATGCAAATGCAAGTTTATTCCATAGAAAAGAAAAAATAGTCTGGTTATCCTGGTACATAACACAACTATACGTTTCTGACACTCAGTTTGTCACAGAGAATAAATTAAGTCAAACAATATTTATATGTTTTTAAACAGCCATTCAGATTTTTGTATTATTTTAATCTGGACTAAAGTATGCCAGAAAAGATATCTAGGTTCAGTCCATTGAACTATTGTTTTATTGGTCGATGATATTTTCAATACGGTGATAAAAGCTTAAAGGATTATATTGTGATATGAAAAGTAGATATGTAACATGCCTAAAGCATTAAATAGACATCAATTAGATGTTTTTTGAACTCAATATATTGTGTTTTTTTTATCTTTAAACATGGGTTCAGTCAAATGCATCTCACTGAACTCATCAGCTTGATATTAGAGACTCCAAGACCAGAAATGAGTGCGTCAGAAAAAGGAAGCATTTAAAATGTGCACAGTTGGGGATACTACATATAAGTGATGACCACTGATGTGTCAGGGGCTTTTTTTGCAAGAATAAATAGTTTAAAACTTTTTATAATTTAAAGTACAAAATGATTTTTTTATCTTTTAACATGGGTTCAGTCAAATGCATCTCACTGAACTCATCAGCTTGATATTAGAGACTCCAAGACCAGAAATGA